CCGCTTATGCAAATGAAGCCCGGGAAATTCAAATCCCGGGCTTCATTTGCAAGTGCGGTATGCCTACATTACCCTCCTAGTTCGAACTATGAGGGTAGTGTAGACATACCCCCACATTTGATCTTTTGTAGTTAACAAACTTATTTCTTGTTTATTTCAAAACCCAGTTTGTGCAATTCACATCTGAATGGGGAGAGCAAAAAACTGTGTATATATCCCTCTACATTGAGGAAGGGGGTGAATTTTTATGAGTTTGCATTGTGCAGCCCTGTCTGTACAGCCCAAAACAATATTATTTTGGGTTCACACTCCAGTTGGCATGTGCACCGGTGTGCTGGGTAAATCCCCGAACTGAACCCTTTCACACAAATCTGACTGTAGTCTGTGTCTATAGCTGTGTAGGATCTTGCCTGGGTGTGTGCTGGAAAGGGGTTCGAAGGCCTGACGCAGCAGCTCAGGGCAAGGGAAACTCAGGCTGGTAGGGATTCCGACACCTTTGGTGGCACCTGATAGTGGGGTCCAACCCATCACAAAATGAAAGCTGCAGAGGCCACTGAAAAAAAAAGGCCTGGTAGCTGTGAATCAACACCAGTTCCTTTATTGGTTTGAGATTAATGCTAGAACTGAATGAAACTCTATTGTTTTGATTTGCATGGTTTTTCACTCCCTGGACTTGTCTTTTTTCAAACAAATCTCATACTAAAAAACCAAACTCAGATGAGACAACCAAGCTTTTCCTGTTTTTTCTTGGAGAGCATGCAAAACCACGAGTAATAGCTAGTTTTGACACGAAACCATAAATCATTGCAGATTTGCTCCAAACTTGGCTGAGATTTGCTCAAAAGTGGATCCAAGTTCATTGAAAATTAATATTTGAACATATTACATGAACTAGGGCTGATTTTCAAGTGTGCAGTGGAGTTTAAAATCAGACATGTTGTATCTCTTTTTGGTTTTCATTGAGAATATTTTGCACCAGGAACCAAGGACGAGATCCTTAACTGAAATGCTGATAAGTGGAATGAAAAATACCCGAGCATTAAATGAAATCTAGTGAAGATAATATTGGGTGTTAAGCCAGACTCCTAATAACTTATTCAGTTGATTCATTTGAAAATTGATATTTTTTCCAAAGAAGCTCTATGTTGTAATAGTGGGTTGGGTGCCATGCCAGCTCTTATGTGTATTTTTTTTTTTTTTTTACTTGACATGGCTTTGCCAAGTATATCTGGGCTTTTAAAGTCAGAGTGATTTGAACTCTGACCTAGGTAACAGGCGCCAAAGATAGTATTGAAATGTTCATTGTCTATGTATTCCTAAACTTAACTGAATCAACTTCAACCTAGATAGATAGTCAGTTCAGTGGCTCACAACAAAATGTAATAAACGAAATAACTCTAGGCTTTAATATAATCTCACACAATTGTATTACCTCCCAATTACTTTTTTGACCTTTTTAGGCCCACACTTCCCTTAAAACACACACAATCTGCAGTTTGGAATGTCCTTCACCATATACTGTGCTGAGGAAATCAATAGATTGAGCAGAATGAATATCTCACTTGTGACTTCTGGTTGTAATAATATAGTACCAGGAAAGGCATTATGCATGCCTCAGAAATAGAATAACCCATGATGTATGCCATGGGCAGAGGTGCTTGCTAGCTATTGTTTCTATTTAGTCCAGATTCTAGAGGACTCAGAAGTCAGCTATTATTTTTAAGGAGATTATTTTATTTTACTAATCCTAGCTGAGATTTTTAAAATCAGTGATGTTAGCTCAGGATTCATCTTGCTGAACTGTGGTCCTATAGACCTAATGTCCCTGCCAAATGTAGAGTTTAGTCCTGTGAGTATTCCCATTGACTTCAGTCAGACAGCTCATGGTGGTGAGCACTAGCACTCTGATCTAAGAAAGCCCTTGGGCTTGACCTCAAGAGCTCTGTTGAATGGGGATGCTTTCCTGAAATGAAGCTTTATGGTGACGGTATGCAGGGTGGGGCCTTGTGTTCAGGCAGGAATGATTTTGTCCACCACTACAATACAGCTGGCTGTCCCTTGGATGAGTGGCACCCAAGCAACAGCTAGGGCACTGCATGATCCTCATGAGTTTCAGGAGAGAAACCTTGGTCAAAGAGTGGGCAATCCTTTGCTTTTATGAAAAATGTCATGGGATCTTTCTTGTGGGGAGTTGTACCTTTAAGATGCTTGGAGAACAACCGGTTGGAAAGGGGTTTTCTACCTTACATACAAGGTTCATGCTATGTTGTGCTGATCACTTAGGCTCAGATACTGAAAGAAGTAGGCTGCTGTCAAACTCTGGGGCTCTGAGACCTGAATCTATAAAGGGACCTAGGAATTGTGATGTCTAACTTTAAGGTGCTTAGAAAATCACTGGAACAAAAATAGGATCTACAAAGCCTGCGGTAGGGTGTGGTATATAGATATAGGGGAGAGAAGTGCCAAAAATGGGATTCACAAAAGCAAGCATACTAGATAGGGAGGTTTCTAAATTAGTGAATGAGGGATGCTGACAAGAGGGGTGTGTGTAAGCCTTGCCCTTTCACTGAGATAGGTGCCTAAGGACTGGCTATGCTGCCAAATTAAGTTGACTTAATTTAGGTTGGCATATAGCAGCCTCAGTAATTACCTCACTTGCACTTGTCCTCTTGCTCCTTGTGTCCAGGATGCATGTCCTGACCAGAAGAGCTCTCAATGACTTTAATTGTCAGTGTGGGTTAGCTTCTGAAAGACAGCAACAGTCGATGTAAGAAACTCAGTGTCTACACTGACACTGTGTCGAACTAACTACATTGACTCTCTGCCTCTTGTGGAAGTGGAGTTAATACATTTGTGCAGAGAGGCAGGTATGAGCAAAATTTTAGTGTAGCTACTAAAGAGGGTTGGTGCGAGGGACCGGTAAAAATTGGTCACCAATGCCAGACTAGATACAACTGATGTTAAAATGCTGCCCTTTTTGCTCCTCCACTGTCCGTGGCCCTGCTATAGGTCCAAACCCTACCACAGGGCTGCTGATGGAGGGTGAAGGGGAGCAAAAGGGCCTGGTGATTAAAAAGGACCAAGGGCTCCCGGCTGCTGCAGTTTCTGGCTGCCAGCCATGAGGGACTAGCTGAGGAGGTAAGTCCCTTCTAGGGATCCAGAGCTGCCCCACTTGCCAAAAATGCTGGGCCTGGAGCAGGGAGAACCAGTAAATCCTGGCATCTACTTTCACCCTGAGATACTTCCACAGTTAGATCAATATAAACTGCTTTATGTCTCCCTAACTCTGTAGTGCAGAGCAGGCCTAAGTGCTGAGTGCAGAGAGCTGCCTGTCTCTGGTAGTGACTCAGAACTGGGACTCCATCTCCTGCAGTTGGGCAGCTTAGGCGCTGAAGCCATTTCGTGCAAGCAAGTGTTCAGTGCCTGCCTCACTCCCCACAAATCAGCAGCAGAGACTGGAGGAGGAAGTGATGTCCATCATATAGCTTACCTCCCAGCAGTTGGCACATTCCCCTGGGATGTAGGAAACCCATTTTCAATTCCCCCTTTTCCTAAGAGGAAGAAGGATTGTGAACAGAAGTGGCATACACCTCTCAGGTGAGTGCTCTAACCATGGGGCAACGGTTATTCTGATGCGGGGGGAGGGTTCCCTTAGTCTTTCAGATGAAGCTGCTCTGTGGATAAATAGTGAATGAGGAGCAGGGGGCCGAGTGGGGGGGGCTCTAAATGTCATCAGAGGTACCCTAAAAGGCACAGACCCTCAGGCACCTGGGGACAGGATCAGATGGAGTGGAGCTGGCACATCATTGTGACTGTGATGTCTTCCTGTCTCAAGAGAACAAGGGTATGTGAGAGACTTAGATGCCTCCTGGAATGAGGCTTAATAGCAACAGGTACCCTGAGATGGCCTTATATTCCTCTCTAGTGACCACCAGTGCCAGGCACCCCCCACCACATTGTGGGAGGAGTGCCTCCCTCTATTTTCTCCATCTCCCTATGTTCCTTAGCAGCTTCTCGTCAGATTTCTCTGTTTAGCTTTGGTGGCTGTATCCTTCCATTCCCATTGGGTTGCATCTCTGGCCCCACCGAATAGCAATGCTCCCTATGGTGGGTGGAGTATCCTTGGTGCCGGGGGTAAGGTGGGAGGGGAGTGAGGTTTGATCCTGAATGGAGTAGGAAGAGAAGAAGAGAGACAGATTCATCCTCCAGCTGGGGCCAGTCTCAGAGGACTTGGTGAGTTTCAACAGGGCTCCCATTACTCGGTGGGGGACTGTCTCAGATGGGAGCTGGACCATTTCTTCATGGATCACGTTGCCTGGCTTCTGTCAGTGTCACTTTTCTATTGGGCTCCACTTCTCAACTGGGTTTCTTTACCGCTGGTGTAACAGCAGTTTGTAGAACCAGCAAAGCCCCTCCCTGGCCAGGCTGCCAGTGTCCTCGGCTGGGGCACTGATGGAGCCACCAAGTTCTCTAGCGAGAGGAACTGTGCTGAGTGCCAATGGAAGGGAAGAAGAGGGGGCTCCATCAGCATTCTTCTGTCAACTCCCAATCTCCCCTGGACCAGGAATCTTCCTCCCCCAAGTCCCTCTGCTGGAGACACTGGGGGCAGGGAGGGGAGCTAGAGCTAGACCCTCAGCTCCTTCTGGCTTCAAGGGATCCTGGAGTGAAGGGATGTAGGCAAGGCCCTCAGCTGCCCCAGGAGGACAAGAAGGAACCCAAGGCCAGGAATGAACCTGGCTGGAGCATGGGTTGGAACATGATCCCCTTAAAGTCCCAGGCTCTCCACTGACCCTGGAAAAGATGAACTTGACTCAGGTCTACCTAATTCCCTTCTCTGACTCTGTTCCCCATAGGAAGGCACTCCCAACCCAGAGCCCCAGCAGCTGCAGGTCCTACAGCCTATCAGATCCCAGCCTGCTCAAGGACTGGTGTCAGGAATCTGGGGTCAGAGGTCACTTATTTCAAATTCAGGGAGAGGGATGGTGAATCAGAACAGGTCTCTGGCTGCTCCTTGTGGTGTTGGCTCCCTCCTGGGACACTCTGGACATGAGGCAGAAGTTGACACACTGTGGTGGAAGGAGGCAGATTAGGATTAATAGACTGGTGTGCATATTGTGTAAATGAACCAACCTCTATCCCCAGGGCTGAGATATTGTGCTCTGGGTGGAATAGCTGATTCATTGATCATGGTGTTTGAGAAGAGAATTGTCACAATTTGTCTCTCTAGACTGGGACAATGTTCTGTGTCTGGGCTGTTCCCATCCTTTCTAGACCCCTGATCCATGAACAGCTCATCAGGATGGAGACAGACCCCTTGCCCCTCGCTGGCTTGCAAGCCTTTGCTAAGAGGAAGGGAGCGACTGAGGGGACAATTCTCTCCATCTCCCACTCAAATCTCCATGCTTCCTTTTGGCACAGCTGGTTCTCTAAGAAGGAATCTGTGACACTTCTGTGAGCACAATCTCCTGGATCTCATGGCAGGAATGGGGGAGGTGGGCTGGTGGACAGGAGATTTGAGGCTCACTGCCAGCCAGGGTACTGACTTGAAGTTCCATCTCCTTCCTCTGTCCCTGGAGGAAGAAGGGCCTAACAGCACTGTCCTGACCAAGAAAGGCCCACTGGGGTGCAGGCTAGGAAGACAGACTGGAAATTGGATTTCCTGTCTCTTTTTCAGTTCTCTCCAGCGCTAAAGTAAAACTGCCCCCTGCTCCTCCTGACCATACTTACCTCCAAGATGTTTTGGAAACTCTCTGTGTCTGGGGACTCTGCCAGCAGGTTCCCCAGCCTGGTATGCCTGAGGTCAGACAAGGCTTTTTGAAGAGCCTGAAAAGGGAGAGACAGCCATGGGTCACCACTGGGAAATTGGGAAAACTTCTCTCTGGCAATAGCCCACTACTCGGCCAATCAGCATTAAGCTTCTGAGAAGTGGGAGGCTGAGAAGGGCCATTCTTTCAGATGTATGGCGATCTATGTCACCAGCAGAGGGGATCAGTCTTGGAGCAATTCTAGCCCCACCTCTTTGGAACGGCCTCCCACTAAGCCATAAGGGGGGTTTGTTCTGAGGTTGCCTCTGCCTTGCACCTGTGTCCTGCTTGGCTGATGTCAGTGTCTCTGTGAGGTCACCACCTCGCCACCATGTTTCTCCAATAGACTGAGGTCCTGCAACAAGCCTTTGTGATGTCACTGGCTCACCTACCCATCCTTTGTGAGACTGATGTCCTGCCCCTAGATAGCCCCTTTGGGCACATTGACTGATCAGAATAATCAAATGAACTACAGAGTAATAATTGTTTGGAGTCATTATTGAGCAAGTATTTGAGAAGAAAAGGAATATCTGAAAGAATCAGGATCTGTGCAGAGACAATTATTGCAGAAATGCAGCACCCAAAGGTAGAATTTTGGGCAGGTGGGGGGGGGGCAGCAGCTGTGCGCTCTC